AATAAGGACTTATTTCCTCCTTTCGGTCAAATTTTCCCAGGAAGTGCCAAATCCTGGGGAGAAAATTATGCATTTTGAATGCTTAACACTTTCAGGTTATGAGGTAGCATTAATCAAATTATAACATCAGGACATAAGAAGTTGTACTTCAAGCCAGAAAGAGCTAACCTACCATCCGAAGAACTAATAAAACAATCAGCAGGATTCAGCTTCTTGAGTGCAGAACTGGCAAATATTAAAGACTGGATAATGGCTAAAAGCTCAGGTGGAAAAGCTGGCCTAAATCCAGATCATGCTTTGGCTGTACATTCTTGGGCTAATTATTTGAAGCCCTGGGATCTTCATCTAAACAATAGGGTTGGCAATTGCATAGCATTATTTGTGGGGATAAAATTACATAATCTATGCCAAGTGCCTAGCACAAATGCAAATGCTCAATAAATGTTACTGTAAGCTACTAGGATGCTGCTGCTATAAATAGCCAGATACTCAAATGGATTTAAATCAATCCAATATGTATTGCAATTAGTGAAGGAGATACTAAGCATTTTGTTTTATTTAAAAACTTACACTAACTGCTCAGACATAACGTTATGGGATAAGCCTAGTAAACCTAGGATTCATTCACTGTGCTCTTAGAACATGTGAGCTGTGAAAAATACAGAAATAAGAAAATGACCTTTGCCCTCATGGAGTTTACAAGATAAACACAGATAACTAATTTCAGTTGTCATAAGATATGGCATCATAGAGACCGGTCTGTAGAGAACTGCCTGAGGGACATGGGAATTTAAGAGACTTCTCTCATCAGCTCACCAACGGGAATGAACACTTGAATCTCTCTGTTAGGTCACACACCCACATGCGATTCTCTAATGTTCTTAAAATATCAAACTTTACTTCACATCTATGACAATGTTGCTGAATAACGCTGGCAACATTTATAATGAAATAAGGACCTGAAAAATTTTCAAATGGCTTTGACCTTTTTTCTCAGTAGAGAATACTGGAACACTGGTTCTAAGAGGTGTGAAATTGGTGTCCAGTTAAATTATACTTATTATGCCTCACAAGTTAGTGAAAGAGAAAATTATCTCAGACACCTGGTGAACTAGCCAATATAAACACCTGGGAGGGGAAGGCTCCATTCACACAAGGGAATATCTAATTGATAAAGAGTTTACTGAAACAGATCCAACCGGCGAACCACTAACTGAATGTGCTTCTCATGCTCAGTGGACTTGGGTCATATTCTCAAAAGAAGTCTGCATCAGGTCAATGGAAATTAGTAGTTCAAGTCATAAGATTATGAACCATCAAAAAGTGATAATATATACAGTTACTGGGTTTGTTAATCCAGCTGATGGGCAGATGACACAGAGATCTTAAAAATCATCCTTGGAATGATTCTGTAAAAGACTCACATCCCCTCTCAATTAATAATATACCAGGTGGTATCTAGTTTATGCTTTCATCATTTCATTTGGTTAAAATAAAGAAAATATGTATTTATATGCACTTTTAAAGCACAGGTAACCTGAATTTCATAGTAAATTAGACGATTCTGCAAGTTATCAGATTAAAATGTTTTTCTTACATTATGTACTACTGGATTCAGTGCTTTTATGCCTTCTTAACACAGAGTGTAGATCCCCTAACAGAAATGGGTAGACACTGTATTTTCACTACCATCACAATGCAAGAAAAACCCTTTGCACAACCCTTGGCATTAAGTCTAGAAAATGCTTCATCATTGGGGAACTAAACGTCTCTCAAATATTCCTAGATGAAATCCTAAATGGACGAATTTCAACGTAGATACTTTAGGAATGGCAGTAACAAACAAAAACATGATTTTATAGAAATGGGCCAAAGATATCAGGATGTTGAATAATAATAAAGTAATTTTATGATTATTAATATCTTATACACAATGGAAAGCAAGTACATATTCTTTAATGGCAGCAGCCTATATGTGTTAAGCACTTCCCAGTTTTCAAGATTTAAATACATCCGCTCATCTGGTCCCCCCAACAACTCACAAAGGTGAGCAAGGAAGAGACTAGTCTCCACACTAATTTATACAACCAGAAACCACAGAGATTAGGAAAATTGTCAAATGAGCAGATGACAAAGCCATGCCTTCTGACCCCTAGTCCAGCATCCTTTTGACCACATGCCATTAAACATGGAATTATTAAGTATTAACTAATAGTAATGTGGTTATTCCGCATCAGGAGTCGTCTCAGCTCACTGGTGCTTCTCAGTTTTCTGTAAAAATCCCTAAATAAGTACTTTCCAGACTTACCTTCAAATGGGAAAAATCACTTATATTTTGCCTAAACAAGAAGACACTACTTACAGTGATTTGATATCATCACACTGAGGCCAAAAGCAAGTCAGCTGCTGAGCAGCCGGTTTAATCTGCCAGAAATACCTCCCACAATTCCTCATGCCAGTCCAAAATCACCTGCATCAAGTCAGTGAACGTATGAGAAATGGGTGAATATTTCTCAGAGCCTTTTCTTGCCACTAACAGTGATCACTAACAAATTCAAAAGCTACAAATGCAAAACTCGAAAATACATGAATTCAAGCATAGTAATATTTGATGGCAAAGAAAACTATCTCTGGGTGCGGAGAAAGCAGATGCGGAGTAAATCATCTCCAGACCTTCACTCCACCCATTTTATTCCACTAACAAAGGCTAGGCATGGCAGGCAGGGTGCTCTGGAAGGACCAGTAAAACAGGAAACACCACTGAGTGGTTACCCCGCACTGGACACCAGGACAGGTGCCCTATGAAATCGGCTCATTCAACAAATTAGTGAAGTAGCATCATTATATCCTCATGTTATAGCTGAGGAAACAGAAAGTTTCAGTAAGGAGCTCCAAGATACAGAGCAGGTAAAAGCCGGTTCCAATCCAAGCCAGCCGGTGCCAGAGCCTGTGCTCTAATCCAGGGTTCTGCCTCCTACAGCGCTGGGTCAATTCCACTCGCCACCCAGCCATTTCAGTGGAGCCATAAGAAAGGTTTTACATTTTCAGATGCGTGGGGGTGGGGGGTGGGGGTAGGGGAGAGGTATTGTCAAAAGAAGATTATCTCAAACTTCAATAAACTGAAACACTGTCACATTTGTTCACAGACGTATTGGCTATGCTGCTCTTACATAGCTGAGGGCTATGACAGAAACCACACATGGTCTGCAAAGCTAAAAATAGTTACTATCTGGCCCTTTAGAGAAAAATGTGCTGACTTCTGCTCTAAGCCATTCCACATTATGCTTACTTAACATCTCTATTTGGATGTCTTAAAAAATATCCCACGTTTAACATATCCCAAATCAAACACCTGATTTCCTCCACCTCACACACCCAGAACCGTATTTTAATCCTTCCCTTGTGGAGAATCCATCCTATGTAAATTTACATCCTATGTAAAAACCATAGACCTAGAGTACCTTTGAGTTCTTTCTTTCAATCATGACCAAAACCATCAGCAAATCTGCTCAGCTCTGCCTCTGAAATACCCAAACACATTTCTTCCCTTCCTCAGCCCAAGCCTTCACCGTCCCTTTTCTGAGTCGCTATCGTAAACTTCTTCCTAGGACTTTTGCTTCTTGCTCAAGACAGCAGCCAGAATACTCTTCTGCTCAGGACCCTTTGGCCTTTCTAAACATGCCAACCACGCTCCTGCTCCGGGGTTCTGGGGCTCCCCCGTTTCTGCAGACCTCTTCCCAATGCCATCCTATTTTACACAGGCTCTCCCCTCTAGCCAACCCGAATCTATACTCCTAGGCCTTGAGTCGCCCTTTCCCTTGCTTTATTGTTCGCCACATCATCTCAGTTTGCCACACGATATATATACTGGGTTTTCATTGTATTTAGGCTCCAGGAGGACAGAAGTTTAGTTCATTTTCTTCAATAATATATCTCTGGCACTAGACCAGGGCCTGATACACATCAGGTACTTAAGTATCTGCTGAATGAATGAGAAATCGGTCCCTACATTCAAGAAGCATTGAGTTCAGTGACATACAGAGATGGGTGAACATCTTCAACATATAAATAATTGTACTGAAGGGGGCTTAAGAATACACTTCTTATTTTACCTACTTTATTAGTAAACACTTTATTCTAAACAAATCAAATGCTGGGGTCTCAATCAAAGGGAGAGAAAGCTAACTCGGTAACATCATGTTCTCTGTATGAAATTACTCCAAGCAAATCTACTTCACTGCACAGGGGCACTGGTTACATGCCCGAAGTCCCATTCTTACCTTCTGCTTCAGCCTTAATTCCCTCCTTTGCAACTCTGTCAATTCAAAGTCCATTTTGACTACAGGTAGCACCTCAACTCTTCCCCCTCTAACTCTTCTCCCTAAGTCCTACTATTCAGCTCCTGTAAAAATATTAATGCTTGAAATTACTCTCCGGTGGGACTCCTGTCCACCACTCTTTACAGGGACATTCATTTCTTAGCCACAAATGCACTGAAAGTGAGTTTTCACAGAGACAATATATCCATTAAAACACTATCATTTCTGAGAACGAACTCAAGTTTAGTCAATGTTTGAGTTCAGAGTAACACTAACAGAATTATACACTTGAAATCTATATAATTTTATTAACCAATGTCACCCCAATATATTCACTTAAATTTTTTAATGGAAAAAAAAGAAACTATGAATAATAATAATGATGATGATGATGATGAGTAGCACTCTACTGTGTAACCTAGAGGCCATGCACTTTTTTCATTTAAGGAAAAAATATCTGAGGGAGGTTTATGAGTGGTAAAATGCATCAATGAACCAATAACACCACCATACTCAAAACTATCACAGTAGAAATGACATTCCCTGCTTGGCTTCTTCACTTCCTGGTCACTTTTTAACTAGGAAAAACAGTAACAGTTTTCACTTATTGATTTTTAAATAAATATACGGGAAAGCTGCAGATGTGGTAATAGAAGAATCAATGACAAGAAATAGTCATACCCTCTCCTCCAGTCTAGCCAGCTGCTCTTTGTAGAATGCATCCTGCCTCTTGATCACTCGATCTTTCTCTTCCAGCATCCTCGCCTATAAAAAGAAATGAGGAATATACTATATTAGGAAAAAGCAACAGCAAAGCAAAAGTCAAGTATAAATTACATTAGAAATAAGTACACAAAGCGGAAGATTTCTGCAAACTATTAGGTCTCTGCCATAGAAAAACATTAATAGGATGATGATTGCTGTATTTAAATGTAAAGAATGAGTCTGCATTGTTTTTCATTTTCTTTTTACTGTAACAGCTGTGTCCTACTTTGTCCAAATGCATCATAATACAGCAGAGACAGTTTTTATTTAACTTCTCTTTTGGAGAGTAATTTCAAGCATTAATATTTTTACATAATAAAACTTTGATTTTAATCTGGGCATAAGACAGATGGTTATTAACCTTTCTTAAACAACAAAAAAATGCCTATGCAACACTGTATACATAAACTTTATAATTGGGAACCCTTAAATTACTCAGTGAAACCTGAATATAAATACATGTATTGGTCTATTTTCTTTTTTATGAAGCAGCTATCTTTAGAGAGAGGACCAAAAACTACTATAAATGTTTATGTGAATAATTAAAAATCAATAATAATAAAAATAATGAAGTTAATTTAAAAATCTTTTTCCCCACATCTAAATTTATGGTCTTTTTAACAAAATAAAAACACAATAAAATATTTTTGATTCTTGAAAATCATGACAAAGGTGGTTACTTATGTTTTTCTAGGTTAGTAAAATAATGCATTTTTCAAACAATTGTTTGTATCTTGTTCATTATGTTTAAGTGACCTTTTTCTATATCACGTACCTATATCACCTCAAGTTAGGAAAGTTTTAAACATATTTTTTGATCTGTGAATGCTGAATATACACTTGACCAGGAATTTTAAGAAATCATGAAAGGATATATTTTGGCATTCCCGTCCTTGGGCCATGCACTTTTTATTTTTTTGCAAGGTGATCAAGTATCACCTGGCTCAACTCCTAGAAAGGTGACTTCCACTCTGTTCAGTTTAAGAGAACCCATTTGCACATTGTATGTCGTTGTTTTGCTACTTACTTTGACTTCAATGTCCTGCAGCATGTTAAAAACAAGCAAATAGTTATTTAGCAATGTAAGTATGCTGTTTCCTAATGTCAGAAAGAAAGCTGATGCATAATATCTACCTAAAATGCAAACCAAAGAAGGCAATAGCGGGAAAAGAGGGCTTTGCTTAACTTGCTTAAATGTGACTAGGCTATTATTTTAAATAGAAGATTTCAATGAAAAGATCATGGTATGTGAAAGCATATGATTAAAAAACACACAAATAAAATATTAAGATTTGATAAAAGTACATTAACATGTAAGTACATAATCTACAACTCCTTGGTACAACACAGTAAAAGCCTGCTATCAGTCAGGAATATAAAAGGAAAAAATAAATGGGAAATGTTTAAAAGCTAAGTGTGAAGAAAATATGCACGACTATAAATCTGACCTACAGAGAAAAGACCTTTCTAGATTCAACAGACACTCCAAAAAATAATACAAACGAATGGACTTACTATAAGACCCTCCATAAAATGTAAAAATCAATAAACCAAATAAAAAGCAAATGAGAAAAAAAGGAAAAGATATTCCAACATGTAGTTATAAGAGTTAATGTTACTAATAAAGAGAGCACTTAAAAAATAAGCCCTCTACCCCACCCACAAATGACATAGACTGGTAAATCACATCCAAAAGTACAAAAAAATACACGGAAAAAGAAAACTCAACCCCAGAAGAAGTCAAAGAATGAAAATTAAAATAATGAAATACCATTATTCATCTATCGAACTTACAAAATTATAAAATAATATTAATAAAGATATAGAAAACCAGGCTTTTCTATACAGTTGGTCAGAATGTAAACTGGTATAGCTACTTTTCAAACAATTTGACAAAATCTAATTAGACAAAGTGTACACATTCATTGAGATCTAAACACTATTTTTAGAACTCTTAAGTAATTATAGCAATATTCAGAGATGTAGATAACTGGGTTATTTAGAATTGCAAAGAAACAAAAACAAAACCCACTCTAATTATTAAATATAAATATATTCCAAATATACTAAGTAAAAAAACCCACAAAACTACAAACAGAAAAGATCTTTTTCTTTTTTGTAGGAAAGAGGGAAAAAAGACCAACAAAAATATCAACAGAGGTCACAGCAGGGTGGTTTCTAGTTCATTTTGCTTCTTTATATATTCTAAATAAAAAATAAACATACTTTGTAGTCAAGGCACTCAGGAGGCAATTTTTTGACGTGAGGAACTATTCTGTTTCTTGATTATGGTGGTAGAAAACTTGTAGAACTAATATTGCAAGGAATGAATTTCACTACATAGTGAATACAAATAAAGCATACTAGAATTTATGAAAATATCTACATATAAATATATGGATGTATGTGTGTATTTATCTTTATTACTGTCAATCTGCTTATCACTTGGCCGATTTTATTTCTAGGCATTTAATCCTAGGAAAGACTAAGAAAAGCATACAAGGATTTACCTCTAAGAAAATGCAGCCAGCATTATTTTCAGCAACAAAAAAGTGGGAAAGACAGAGGGGTGTGTAAATAAGATTTGGTCAAACAACAAGATATTGATTATAAAGATTTTAGTCCAGCCATAATGATCAAACATTGAGAGCCATTAAAAATAATGTTTTAATAGAATAATTGATTATTTTACTCAAAATATTATATGGGGTAAAAACAGGCCATAAAATAGCATGTATAGTAAGTTCTTAAATTTGGCTAAGAAACAGGAGTTAGGAGGCAAAAGGGAGGAACAGAGAGAGTTGAGTGTCTAGTTATATAGACATGGAAAAAATATAAAGTATGCTAAGATGTTAACAGTGGATATGATATGCATAGTGGGATATTTTTCTTATTTGGACTATTTTCCATTTTCCAAATTTTCTATAATGAACAATCATTACTTCTATAATCAGAAAAATATTTTAAACATTAATATCACATACATTTATTCCTGACTGAGATGAAAACACATATGAAGCTGAGAGTGTGAGCTCTTAAGTAATCATGTTGACAAAAAAAAAATGGTTTCAATAGTTTGAAGAGTTATTTACTGCATGGAAACTATTTTACCTCCTAAGTCCTTAATGCATTAACACTTGATTCTCTCTCCCATTCAATGCGTGCATGACCCACCATGGTTCCTAAAACACTTGCACTAAGTGTTTCTTTTGTTCGTGTACAGTTGCGCAGTGAGATTATTTTAAAATTCAACACTACAGTATTACTGGAGCCTACTGAGGGCTACACCAACAAGTTTAATTTTGAGGGGCTGATTGCAGCCTAAATAAAGCACGCTCATTTACATTTCCAAATGTAATCTCTGAAACTTTAATGCTACACGCCAGAAGATCAGATAGGCACACTAAAGAGGAACTACTTCCAAAGACCTGAAAACACCCAACCACAGTCTAACATCATAAATCTTTCCCTAGATGGCCGGCAGGATCAATAGTCTGAGATCGCTGGGGAGAACAACAAAGCAAGAGACGTGGCCACAACACGTTAATGGCACATTGCTTTGAAACAGTTAATGTGATGCTGGGAGCGAAAGTCACACAATATGAATCCTAAAACTTAAATAAGCCTGGAATACATTGACTAAGCTAATAGCTGCCGAGGATGGAGAGTCACAGTCAACCCAAGGAAAAGCAGTGCACCAAGTGCAAGGGAAGAAAACTTCTATGTGCAAGTCTAACAGATATAGAATCACTGTGAGTGAACAAATAAACACAAACAGCATCACACATCATTTACTGTTCTGGCAGAATCATTTCTCAGGAAAAATGAATACAAAAGTTTCCCCACCTCCTGTTTGCTCTTCCTCCCACCACACAAAATGTGCCCTGATTTAGTTTTCAGATCCTGTTAGATTTGGGGTGAAATGATTGGGCTTGAAACCATGGCAGAAAGAGCTTATGTGAGTCATGATGGAAAACTAGAACGTTCCATATGCCAGAGAAACAAAGAAAATTAAAAAATCAAGTTTTCTTTAAGAACATAGACTTGTTGGCAGTTAGATTCAAAATGAAGTACGCATGGATTTCCTTCCTTGAAGACTTGCCTCTTTTCAGAAAGGATTGACAAGTTTGTGTACTTATCAACCTCCTCTCTTCATTCACTGTTGGTTTTACATTTTTATTTTAAAACCCACTTATCTTTGCCTATGCTTTCTTTTTTTCAAGAGGAGAAGCAGATCTGCCTCAAAGCGGCAGAGGATGTATTTTGAAAATGTACTTGAGAGTGCTTACAAGAAGATATAAAAAGGTCAACAGAAAAACAAAAACAAAAAAAACTTGGACTACGGATATGGCATATTGTGCTGGTAGAACTTTACCTTCCTGTGTACACTCCCAGGAAAATCTTCATAGCCCAAATGTTCTGACATAGTGGCTCAGCTCCCTTAGGCCTGGCTGCTCCTGGGGACTGGGATAGCTCTCCCTCTGGGTACTGGCATTTGGAACCCGGTGACATCACAATCTCTTAGCTCAGAAGTAGTACTGTTACTTCACACACCACGTAAAGGCGTGTTAAGGAAAGATGTTGTGCTATGGAAAAGCCTGTACATTTTAAATGGCAAAGTTCCTTGAAATGTCAGGGTTCAATTTTAACAGCTCCAGGTAGAAAACAAAGCAGGAACCAGCTCAGTTTTCTATGGCATGATATTATGAAACCAGAGATTACTAGGATTGAAAAAAGGCAAGAACTGTAAATCAATATAAATAGGAAATCCTTATAACTCATTTCCTGTCATTCTAAATCTTGTAACAAATCTAAACACAAATATAATGGACTGGGAAAGATTTAACCTTTCAAAATGATATGGATAATCTGTGGCAGACAAGATATCTATCTATCTATCTATCTATCTATCTATCTATCTATCTATCTATCTATCCATCCATCCATCCATCCATCCATCCATCCATCCATCCATCCATCTTACAATTCACATAGGCAAA